TGAGTCTTTGCAACTTTACAGATCTTCTTTATGCACCAAGAGCTTTTAACACTTGCTTGTAACAAAGAGAAAGGAAAAATTGAAATCGCATCATATGACCCCTTTTAAGTGTAGCTGTTCAGGTACCTTAAGATCCGAAAAGGAAAATCAGATTTTTCCGTTTTTGGCTTCCGTAACATTAAATGTTTGTGTCTTGCAGAATCCCTTGATAAGTGGGAGAGGTTGACTGTGGCCGATGCCCTGGAGCCTGTGCAGTTTGAAGATGGAGAGAAGATCGTAGTGCAGGGAGATCCTGGAGATGATTTCTTCATTATTACAGAGGTATGCGTAGAAATGACTCTTTTTGTTCATTACAGCTAGGAAAGAACAATCCTACCTTTTTGGTAACCCCATTAACAGTCTTTTAAGTACTTGTTCCTCCAGGCTGACTAGAGGAGAATGGCTCTCCTTGGTTCCGCCCAAGGTTCCTTGAGGAGTTTGGTCCTGACACTTTCTAAAGTTGCTTACACACTATAGTTTCACAAGGCGAAAGCAACTTTTTAACTTTTACTGCAATGCAATCTGACGTAGGCCAAAGAAAGTTCCCAGTACTTTTGCAAATCTAGTTTTTTGGTATTCCTGCTTGATTTCATATTGATCTGACTCTTTCCACACCTTCTAAATAGATCAAACTGAGCTTTATGTCATGCGTGAGAGCCCTAGAGTTGTTTTCAGACAATCCCCATTGTCAGAAATGTATTGAATTAGGATCAGTATCATGAAACTTAAACTCTGAATTGAATTGTGTGAATATTGAATTATGACATTGTGAGGTAGTTTGCAGTAGAGTCCTACTATATATTGAATATATTGTGCATGCAAGTTTATTTCTGCTTGTTTTCTCTATCCTCTATTGTGTTAGCTGACACTCTCGCTTTGTGCTGTCAACACCAAAGAGCACATTTACATTTCTGAAAGCCCTCGTGGTGCTGATTCAGCATTCTTCTCATTCTCTGCCAGATCTTTGAACAATATTTTGATTAACTCCACATTTATGAAGATGTTGTGAAGTCTGGAGGGGGCTCTTTTCCCATCTGTGCATGTGCTCATATTTTCAGCACCTCTCTCTTTTTTCCTTCTCATTCTCTCCTCCATGAAGGTTGCAGAACTAATATCATCAGGCTGTTGAGTGAAGTAGAGCTCTAAACCTTCATTTGGATGCCTCTTGTTCCTGACCTGTGCTCCCATGAATCCACCTGTTTATTGCTTGCTTATTAATGGTGATTCCTGAGGCAAGCATGACTTCTATTTTTTCTCAAACTTTGGGTTGGTGTTTTGAACAAACCTCTAATAATAACTAGTAAACTTTGGTTCATAACTCATCCTGAACCACTTTTGTGCCACAGACATGAATGATTCCTTTAATCACAAGGCTTGTTGAGGAGATATAATGGATTGATGATTTATTCCTAGCAGACAAAAATCCCATTGAAGGAGAAATTAGATTTTTGTGTTGACCTGCTCATCATTTTGATAAAACATTCCTGATGTTGAGGAGCCAAACATCACACAGGTGAAAAGTTGCATTACTATAGTATCTGTTAGATTTATTGTGGATTTGAGATTGATGACGCTCAGGTAAAGTTGTGAGTATGTGCGTTTGGAAAAGGCTTTTGTAAGAATTCTTCCTTTGGGGAATGTTATAAATCTGAGACTGATGAGCCGTATAAAGTGAATCTGGGACAACACACATTTGTAGCAGAAAGGTTAGTTCTTCGCTGATGACCAATGGAAGGAGACGCTCGCCAGTGTTGAGTCTGTGTGAGTGTGACTGACTGCAAGTGTGGGAAACCTGCTGCTGTGTCCAGATGTGTGTGTGTGTGTGAGTGTGTGTGTGTGTGTGTGGCTTCAGAAAAACAGACAGAAGCACTTGCAAATCTAGTGTCCAAAGGAAATGTCTTTAGCCAGAATCTATTCTATTCTATTTTATTCTATTCTATTCTATTCACCCAGTTCTATTGTGGTCTTATCTAGTTATTGTAGTTATTTGTATTTACTGTACACTACCTTTCAAAAGTTCAGGGTCGATAAGATGTTTTTGAAAGAAGTCTCTTATTCTCACCTAGGCTGCATTTATTTGATCAAAAATGCAGTAATATTGTGAAATATTATTGCAGTGTAAAATAAGTGCTTTCTATTTGAATGTTTTAAAGTGTAATTTATTCCTGTGATGCAAAGCAGAATTTTCAGCATCATTACTCCAGTCTTCAGTGTCACATGATCCTTCAGAAACTGACACATTTTTTTTCAGAATCCTTTGATGAATCGAAAGTTGGAACAGCATTTATAGAAATAATTTTTTTTTACTAACAGTGTAAATGTATGTGAACTATGTATTTCAGTGCATACTTGCTGGAAAAAAAAGGTCGCTCAGTTTTGTTCTATTCCATGTTCTATTCTTTTCTATTCGCTCTGCACTTTTCTGTTCTATTCTGCTCTATTGTATTTGTTCTATTCTGTTTCTATTCTATTTACTCTTTACTGTTCTATTCTGCTTGGTGTTTTATTGTAATTTTTTTTGTTATATTCTATATGTTCTGTTCTGCTCTTTTTCTTCAGATCTATTCTGTTTTGCTCTGTTTTTTATTTCTGTTTTGTATTGTTCTATCCACTTTGCTCTGTTCTATTCTCTTTTTTTCTGTTTGCTATTCTATTTTCTATTTCGTTTTTTCTGTGCTTTTTTGTATTCTCCTACTCCAATATGCATTTTTATCATCTTGTGTTCATCTGGGTCAGGGAAGAGCAGGGCAGAGAGACAGATAAAAATAAATGAAGATGACTTTAGCATGAGACACGGCTCTGCCTCGCTGCTTGTTTGTGTGTCTCTCTCTCTCTCTCTTCCTCCGTCTCTGCCTGATTCCCAGCGCGGGGTGGCCAGCGGTTCAGTGATGGAATGTGGGCTGCAGACTTTCACACAGGGTCAGGCCCAGACTCCAGACCTGAGCGAGGGAACCAGGGACGGCTTTACAGACACACTAACACAGGCTTGGGAAGGGAGAGATGTGTGGGTGTCATTGTCCAGCTCTGGTCCCATAGTTCTTCCTTTTTGCTTCTTGTTTGTCTTGACAGACACTGTGAATGAAACGTCTTCCTTTTAGTTATTTCACCTCTTTCATTTTTGTGGTTTGGACCATCATTCATACACACACACACACACACACACACACACACACACACCCACGACTAATTACACACTAAATAGGAAGATCACAGGACACGTATTGAAACAAAGTTTGTTGCTTGCAGCCTTAAACTGACATTTTGTTATTGATTTATCACATTATGGTTCTGCTCCAAAGCCTAGGGAACTGCCTTGCTGTCTACTTCCAACATCAGGGTGACCATACATATTCTTTTTCATGGACATATCCTGGCCAGGATTTCTAAATAACCTAAAATATCTGGGATTTGGCTGTTTTCCTTTGTTGACGTGCTTTCTACAGTCCTCATGCTATCTATCTATCTATCTATCTATCTAGATCCCACCTTCTGTCACGCTATAATACAATTATGTCAATTATGTACAATGCCTGCATTGGTCATACTAATTCAGCAAAATGCATTTTAGAATTTAGAAATCCTGGCCAGGACATGTCTGGGAAAAACTGGACAAATGGTCACCCTGTCTACATAGGCTGCTCCCTTCTAAGGCATCATCTTAGTCCAGTTTGTATTGGTACTTTTCTGTAAAGATATAATTATGTGCATAATTGACATTTCTCTTGCATTATCTGTCATCTCGGATTATTTTTTTCCCCCAATGAGCTTGTTGCAATGAGTACATGCACTGCATTTTAATGCTGCGTAATCTTTAAGCATTTAAGACTAAAGCCAATAACTGTACCTACTACAACCAATACAATTTCAGTCCAATGAGGATTTGTTATTAAATTGCCTCTTTATTATTTCTTTATTTATTAGTCTTTATTGCACATTTTGGCAATTTACACCAAACTTACAAGAGAAAGATGAAGAAAAAAAACATCTCTCTGTCTCTGAGAGTTATGTATATATTATTATATTTATGCATGTCATACTCTGTGTTTGAAACCGTGTTTTTTTAGTATCATTAAGACACTATTATCATTTTTATTAATATTTTTTTTTATTTTATTTTAGTATTTTTTGTGTTTTTGTCATTTTTAGTTTTTTTATTATGTCTATATAGTTTATATTAATTTTCATTTTAGTTTTATTTATTTTAGTACATTGTTGAACTAAATGAATATGATTTATATTTTTCTTTTTCTTTTATTTTTTATAACTATAATTATTATAAATCTGTTTTGGAATACATTTGTTGTTTGTTGGATTGAGTCACAGAGCAACTATGATTTGATGCGTCACACATTAACTGATTTCACCACGTATAACATTCCATCATCTTAATTTGGGCCGTGGTAAATGTGATGATTCATGATATGGTTTATTACCCATACAGCTGCTCTCAGACTGTCTTAATCGTGTGAGAGCAGAGGGCCAGTTAGAGATCTCTGTGCCATACGTCTGCTGAATTGTTTGCATTTGGGTGTTTGTGTTTGTATTTTGTGTGTTAAATAGGTTTTCCCACAGATACCAAAAAAATGTGTTGCCCATTGTGAGACTTTTAATTTGATAGTAATGCAAAACCAACAGCTCCAGGGCATCCCCATGATGTCATACCTCTGGAGAGCACGTCCCCAGCCAAGATCCTGCACATACCAGGACGCTGATCCACTGGGGTCACACTGAAACATTCAAAGCTTAAAACATAGCTTAAAAGCTTTTTTTAAAGAAAAAAGTGGACTCTGTCATTATGTACCACATAATTATAGGCACATTCAAATCGGAATAAGATGAAAGCCATCCCTGGCATATTAAAAATTCAATGTTCTGACTTGTTTCCACATTTTCTCACAGGGTTAGGTCTTTTGCACATTAAAGTTATTACATTTACATTTAGTCCTAAGTTTTATCCAAAGCGACTTACAATTGGGGAATACATAAAGCGATTCTTCTTAAAGAGGCAAACAGACAAAGGAAGTGCTTGTAATACCAAGTTTTAGGCATTGTTCAAATAAGTACAACTAGAAAGGGAAGGAATAAATAAAGAGAAAGACAAATTATTATTATTTTTTTATTTTTTATTTAAGGTGAAGTCAATGAGTTTTCAGCTGTCGCTTGAAAATTGTCAGGGATTCAGCATTCCGGATAGGGGTGGGAAGATCATTCCACCAGCCAGGAATGGTGAACGAGAATGTTCTGGAAAGTGATTTTGAGCCTCTCTGTTATGGTACCACGAGGCGTTGCTCACTAGCAGATCTCAGACTTCTGGAGGGGATGTAGATTCGTAGTAGTGAGTGGAAGTAGGCGTGGCAGATAGATCCAGCAGAATAAAAACTGATGATTTGGAATCAGCTTTTGCCATCCGCAAGGCTTCCGTGACTGACAGTAGCGCGGTCTCAGTTGAATGGCCACTCCTGAAACCTGACTGGTTAGCATCCAGTTTGTTGTTTTGTGAAAGAAACAATGATACCTAGTTGAAAACAACTAATTCGAGGGTTTTCGATATGAATGGAAGAAGAGAGACAGGTCTGTAGCTACCTGTAAGTGTTTAATGTAGGTTTTTTGAGCAGTGGGGTTACCCGAGCCTGCTTGAATGCAGTGGGGAAGGTGCCTGTGAGGAGAGGTGTGTTGATGATGTGTGTGGGTGCTGGTAAGAGTGTAGGAGAAATTGCTTGGAGAAGGTGTGAGGGGATTGGGTCCAGAGGGCATGTTGTAGGATGGCTGGAGAGGAGAAGTTTTGATACTTCTGCCTCAGTGAGGGGCCAGAAGGAGAAGGTGGGAGTTTTAGCAGTGGGTGTGGTTGGTTTGAAGTCCTGTATGTGTGGGGCTGAGAATTGACTACTGATTGTTCTAGCTTTGTCTGTGAAGAATGTGGCGAAATCATCAGCTCTTATAGAAGTGGTGGGAGGTGGTGGAGGGGGACAGAGGAGAGAATTGAATGTTTTGAAGAGATTACGTGTGTCTGGAGCGCTGTTGATCTTATTGTGGAAGTAGGCAGATTTGGCAGTATGGACTTCCGCAGAGAAGTATTGCATAAGTATTGCAAGTAAGAGCTGGTCAAAGGACTGTACTTTTGTATGTGAGACATATATGTCTAGTCTCAGACTGTGCTAACAATCTTTCTGTATGAATATGACCTGCCCATAGATAGATAGATAGACAGATGGATGGATGGATTTTTACTCTCAGCTGTTTGTAGTGCTTTTTGGGATTACTGGGATACATGATTACTGCCTTACATTCTGGCCAAAAGAATAATTATACTAATCAGTAATTTGTAACTTGTAAGATAAATAGTGATGTGTGAACGAGCGTGAGAAAATAAAACGTAAAAGATAGTTCTGCCTACTTCATCCCATTAAAGCGTGCACAAATATGCATACCTAACATGCCCACATCAATGCAGGAGATGCAGAGGAGAAGATTCATATGTATTTCAGAATCAGAAAGAGCTTTTATGCATTAAGGCAAATTAGATGGCATGTTTCTCCTAAAAGAGACAGAGGTGTAGAGCTGCCCGCCCAGACGCCACAACCAGACTTTACTGAATGTGAGTAAACAGCAAGTCAACAACATTGGCATCCCAAACTCTCTGTGTCTTTGGTGCCCAATTGAGCTTGATGCCCTCAGGTAAAAATGGTAGGCTGAATGCATGAGTTACCTTAGCTCTATGCTCGACTGAACTGGAATGTTTGTGTTCTAGACGATGAATAAGATGTTGGCAGCGTGTCTGATTCTTCATATGGGCAGTGAGGCAGTCCCACAGCTGTGGACCTCTGTAACATAATGCCTTTCCACCAGCAGATGTTCGTACAGTGCATGGAAGAGGCATGCATCCTGTGATTGAAGGAGACACAGCAGGCAGTAGGGTGTTTGGAGATCTGTCAGGTAGTCTTACAGATTATATGGCAGAGATTTGTAAGTTAGCAGTGAAATTTCATAGTCTTAGACCTGATTTTGACATTTACTGAAGAAAATCTGACTAGTGCTCAACCATGAAAAAGTTATCCACATAGGTGGTTGCCACGGGTGGTTTTAGCACTCTGTTATTATGGTTGCTAGACTGTTATTGGTGGTTGCTAGGGTGTTGCTATGCAATTTCTGAAGTGTTCTAAGTGGTTTTAGCATCTTCTGTGGTTGCTAAACAGTTATTGTTGGTTGCTAGTGTGTTGCTATGCAAGTTCTAGTGTTCTAGGTTTTAGTAATTTATGTGGTTCCTAGAGTGTTACCATGCAATTTCTGAAGTGTTTTAGGAATTTATGTTGTGTTGCTGTGCAATGTATAAAGTGTTTAAAGTTGTTTCAACACCTTGTTATGTGGTTCCTACAGTGTTATGGGTGGTTGCTAGGGTGGTGCTATGGAATTTCTAAAGGGTTCAAAGTGGTTTTAACATCTTGTGTTGTGGTTGCTAGAGTCTTATGGGTGATTGCTGGGATATTGCTATGCAATTTCTAAAGTTTTTAAGTGGTTTAGCACATTGTTTTGTGGTTGCTAGAATGTTATAGGAGGTTGCTAGGATATTTCAGTGCTGCCTATAGTGTTCTAAGAGGTTTTAGCACTTTACTATGTAGTTTCTAGGGTGTTGCTATGCAATTTCAAAAGTGTTCTAAATGATTTTAGCACCTTGTTATGTGACTGAATGTTATGGTTGGTTGTTGCTATGCTGCTCCTGGGGTGTTCTAAGATGTTTTAGCACAAAATTGACCATAACACCGGGATCTTTACAGTTGTGGAAAACAGTACAAACGAACCCTTTTGTTTTGAAGGTGCATAATTGTGTTTAATCAGTGAAGCAGTGGAAGTTGAATGTTTATAATGATAGAAATAATAACTCCAGGATACAACTTTGATGGACACTATCCTAGACCCTTAATTTTCATACTTGACCCGTGATTTTCAAGTCTTCCTAACAGGATGTTAAGGTCAATGGGGTCAACTGTGTGCTGAAAGCTCCAAAGAGTAGTACTACAAGTGAGATACAGCCATGGGCAGTGGGCAGTATGTTATTGACAACTTTGACAAGTGCCGCTTTAGTCTTCAGCAACGCTGTTAAAATCATGTCAGTGTCCATTAACAGTTTGAGTGTAGACAACAACTCCTTTGAGAACAAACAGCTCAGGTCTGGCGTCCATCAAGTGCTAGGCCTCTTCTCACTGTATGTGCTCTCTCTTAGTAACAATTTGTATGCATTACATTGATTTCCACTAATAAGGAAATTAAATGCAATCAAAATTAAACATGCAAGTAAGTTCCTTTATTTATTTATTTATTTATTTTTTATTAGACTTTTATGGAATAGCTTTAATCGCTAGTGTTGTTCTCTAAGATCTGGTTGTAACTGGGCTGTTGTTTGAAACCCACATCAGCAGTATCTGTAGAACTCCTTGCTCTCACATATGTAACATCACTTAATCATAAAGTTCCTCAATGACATTTAAAAACTAGTCCATGGTTTCTCTCTTCATCTAAATTACGAATAGGATACAAATTGTTGCTATTGACGTGCAAAGCCCTGAGTGACACAGCAAAAGAGTCTGTAGATGACCTCTTGACCTGCTACCAACCCCCACATTTGCTCACAAGATTATAGTCACATAAGGACCTTGTATTATTCTACTTATGTATCAAGGAGATCCAATAGTGCTACCAGCTACAGCACTGGTCAGTGGACAATAATCTGTTATTGAAGACTTTGACAGGTGCTATTTCAGTAATTATCCACACTAGACTGACACTGGTTTATAAATAAATATTTAATAATATAAGTCTATTAACACTAAAATTATGTATTTTTATTTGATTTAATAATTAGTTTTTAAACTAATTTTTATTCGTTTTTAATTAGTTATTATTATTATTATATTTACATTTATATTTATGTAATTTATCTCAATTTATATATTTATTTAGTCATATTTAATATAATAATTATTCATTATTACCAAATACTATATTTAATTATTATTTTTATATTTAGGCACGTGTTTAACTTCTCTTATATTACAGATTTTTGCCTGTTTTACTTTTATTACTTATATTTACATTTTTAATAAATCTTGTAATAATAATAATTATTATTATTATTAATGTTATAATTATTAATTATTACTAAATACTATTATGTTTAATTATTATTTTTTTATAATTTATGCACATTTGTTTAACTTCTCTTATATTACTGATTTTTTTGCCTGTTTTACTTTTAAAAAAATATTTACATCACTTACTGTACATTATTCCAATTATTGTTTTCCGTGCTTTTTTGCATTTTTACATACTTCATTTTGTATTGATTAACTGCTTTTAGTGTTTTCAATGTCTGTAAAGTGACTACGAATAGAAAAGCCCTGGCCTGTGAGCCTCCCTCCTTTTACTGTTGGATTGTGGGTAATTTGTCCTTGATGTGACAAATGTGACGGAACGTGTGTGTCTCCTTGTTTATCTTTCTAAATGAGTTTTTGCATTGCAGTGTGGGCCGCTGCATGCAGTGGAACTCTATAACTGTTTAAAAATCTCAACACTGACAGGCCCAGGTGTGCGTGTATGTATGTGTGTGTGTCGGTCTATGACGTGTTTTCGTGTGTGTGTCTTGCGAGTCCCAGAGTTGTCTAAATCCTGTACACCTGCAGGCATTTAAAGCAAAGAATCTCTTTTTCACTAATCCTTCTGACGTGTCTCAAACTCGACACCGTGAGCTAGGCTTTTCTGTCTCCTTTTTCTCGTCTTTTGGTAGTTTTCCTCCTCATTAAATCTGCATATCACTTTCTCTTTCTCTTCCCAGGGTACAGCATCTGTTCTGCAGCGCAGGTCTGATAATGAGGAATATGTTGAAGTGGGCCGCCTGGGTCCATCTGACTACTTCGGTGAGTGTTGTGAGGATCGCAGAGCCTGCAACGTTGTGCCAGAGTCTTGTAAATAAGAGAACAGAAGTGCCTGAGCCAGACAGGAAGAGTAGCTTTCCTAACAGGTGGCAGTTCTTCATGTGCAGGGCTTGCAGAATATAGATCTGTGTGCTTGTTTACCGTCAGTGCGGTTTACACTGCTGCACCACAGGCGCACTGATCTTTGGTTTATCACACGACATAGTGAGTATAGTAATATTTACATTATATAGCGAGACACTGCTTTTTGTATTGTGACTGTATAATTTCAAAGCGGTGTGTTTATGTTATCAGCATACAGCAAAGGCAGTGAATTTTAACTGATGACTGCTTAAAGATGGGGTGAGACATTTCTGCAACACTAGTGTCACCAAACAGAATGGCAGAAATAGTGATTGTTTTAAACAGATTTTCTAAACACTCCCCTATCTTCCATTGGTTGGCCAATGAGATAGTCCCTCCTCAAACTCAAACCATTGGATTGAGTCAATGCTGCACTGTTAGGCTGCTCAAATGGCTTAATTACTTATTATGCATAAAAAAATTAAGTACCTTTAAATGTCTTTAAATGTTTAAATGTCTTTAAATACTTTATTGTTGTGATTTTTTTTCTTTAAAGGGATCATAAATGTAAACATTTGTATCATTTCATTGACTTATAAAGTCAATGTTCTTACACAAACAGCAAAAACAGTCATAATAATACAATAATAAAAAATGTAATAACATTTTTATAATTATTTTCATTAATATATTATTTATAATAATGATGATGATGATCATTACACCAATTACAACTAAATGTTATTACATTTAATTATTTTGAAAATGTTTCATTTATTATATATTTATGATTTTTGCCATGTTTTAGTTTTTTCACACAAAATTTATGTAACATTTACATACTTAACATTATTCTAATTATTGTTTTACTTGTATTTATAATAATTATGATGATGATGATTATCATTACACTAATTACTACTAAATGTTATATTTAATTATTTTGAAAATTATTCTCAAATAATTATTCTCTTTTATTTTCAAACATTTAGTAAAATAACATATTATTTTATCACAATTTTTAGATTTTTTTTGTCCTTTAAAAGGGTCATAATCTACACATTTGTGTCATTATACACATTCAATGTTCTTGCAAAAACAGTGCAAAACCATATCTGTTTCCACTCTGTCTGAATTAGACTGACTGTTTTTGCTACTGTACCTTTAAGACTTCTATATGTAAATAAACCTTTGCTACGACCAGCTGACCTCTATTTAGCGGCATAGTTCACATTTGTTCATTAGGGATAGCCAGGTTACTAAGTATTGAATAGGTGTTGTTAATTATGTACAGTGGGTACGGAAAGTATTCAGACCCCCTTAAATTTTTCACTCTTTGTTATATTGCAGCCATTTGCTAAGCGATACCAAAACAGCCCTGAGGGACACCAGACCTGATGCCATAACGGATTTGTGAATTCTTTTGTCAACCTAGTATTAATTAATAGCCTGGATGCACTGGGATATTTTGAGTTTTGAATGTTAGAGTATGTAAGATCGATTTTATGTCAGAGGGAAAAAAGTGAGAAAAATCCAAATTGATTTTTATGATGTGTAACCTTTGAATCAAGTCATTAAGCTAATCTATGTGCATTTGTTTTATTTGTTCAGGTGAGATAGCGCTGCTACTGAACAGACCCCGTGCGGCCACTGTCGTGGCCAGAGGTCCGCTCAAGTGCGTGAAGCTGGACAGGCCACGTTTCGAGCGTGTCCTCGGGCCCTGCTCTGAGATCCTCAAGAGGAACATTCAGAGATATAACAGCTTCATTTCCCTCACAGTCTAACCCAACCATCTGACACTTGTCTAGACCTCTGTCAGGTTACTTGGGTGCCTGGTTGCATAAAATAATGTGTGAGGTACTTCATCAGTTTTGCTTAAATCATTAGCTTAACTCTAGTTGAGTTGCTCTGAACAGGGTCGACAGTAGATAATAATAAAAAACAACTTATTTTATGCAGTCAAGCATTCAGTTTTTTTTTATTGCAAGAAGCACAAGTGCTCCACCTTTCTGCTTTTTTCCTTTATGTGATTTTCTTTTTCTTATGTGCACTTTGAATTGACCTATGCTATCACAAAGCTTTATTTCTGCAGATTAGGAGAGGAAATGAGGTGCCTAAATGGACTGATATGAAACATCTTCATGCGGCATGTGTAAATGTCCTACAATACATGATGCATGCAGACCAGAGATGCATTTTGTACACTTGCCATTCAGCGTTGAACAGGAAGGTAATATTACAGATGGTATAAGTATATGAATATGTTTACATAGAGGAAAGAATTTTTTAACCTTTGCCTTTTAGCTGTGTTTAGCGTGCTGTGTTTTACCCCACGTGGGTCAGTTTGCCGTCTTGTTCGAGAGCTCTGACCCTCTGATGCGAAATCTGTTTATTGAAAAGCGTTTTTTTGCTGTTCTATAGTGATATTTTCTTCTTGGCTGTTCCATCCCTTAACCTTCTCTGAGTTGTGCTTCTGCAGCTGGAATTAATGGGAAGGGGTTTGTTACATTTTAAGACACAAGTTTTAATAGAGGACAGCTATAAAAGGGGTTTTCATGGGAGTCTCGCTGAAGTCTTAATGTGTTGTAAGAGTTAAATCTGTATGCTGTTGCTTTTCTTTTATTCTTTACAATGCAATTGTATTACACACAAATGCACATCCACACACATGCTCTTACATCCTGAGGCCATGACAAGTTTGGGTGAATCTCATGAAACCTGTCAAGAACATTTCCAGGTCGTATTTCACCCCGATTCCCCAAAACACACACACACACACACACACACATCATAGGCTTCATATGCATATGTACCATATTTACTGTATGAAGCTTATTTTTAGGACCATTGAGATTTGGAGTAGTATTTTTTTGTACTAACTTTAATTTATGCTGATTTAAATAATAATAAAAAAATATTTTTACTATAAAACAGTAAATAAAAAATACAAAATTGACAATTTTGGGAATTATAATACATTTTGGGGAAGGAAATGGGAATAAGATTTTTATTTTTGTGGTACAGTATTCATCATATTTTGGAGAAATGTACGCAGTTGTCAAAACAATAATGCAAACATCCTAAAAATGCTCTTCAAAATATGTTTAAATTGATTTATGAACAAAATAATTAAATTTTAGAGTGAAATGTGACAAGTGACTAATGGATGTGATCCAACATTGACCAGAAATGGGAAAAAGTAAATTAAAAAAAATTTAGAATAATGGTAAGTACGCTAATTTTGTGGGAAAGATTTTTTGTAGTACAGTATCGAGAATATTGTGGAGAAATGCACACAATTGTCATGAAAATAATACAAACACAAAGCAAAAATGTCCCAAAAATGGTCTTAAAAATAGGTTTGAATTTATTTATGAAAAATATAATTCAATTTTGGGGTGAAATGTGACATTTTTGTGTGTGATTCACTAGTTTAGTATGAAGTACTTATGGAAATGTTCTAGAATTGAATAGAAATTATAAAATTTGTTCTCAGTACCTGCCTACAACAGCATTTTGGCCACTGTTTGTGTGTTCAAAACATTTACCTGTATAATTCACCTATGAGCCTCAAAAGTGCTGTAGGTTTTGAGAGAGCCATTGTTTGTTTGTCGTGACTTAAAGGCAGGGTATGTGATTTTTCAAAAACACTTTAGAAAACTGATTCGGGCCGTGTTGGTTTTTTGCAGTTTAGTTTATTTAGATGAATATGTTGGAGGTTATTTGAGTGAATTTGGAAGGAGCGATTGTGCATGCTTTGTTTCTTGGTTTTTACAAAATAAAATGCACACACACACACACACACACCAACGTTTACACACATTCTGTGACTCAAATCTTTAGGCCAATAAAGAAAAGCTTCTGAACACCATTAAATGTCTCGTCACTGTTTAATGCATCTGTTTGTCTCTTGAAACCCCCTTTGATCTTTTCTAGATCACCTTATCATTCTTCCTGTCTGTTTGACTCTCGTTCACCCCGGATCTCTCTCTCTCTTTTACTCCCACTGTCAGTCAGATGTCAGCTTGTGTTGTCAGAGGAAGGGGAGGCCAGCGAGATTAAACTGGAGCTTTTGGCTTTGACACATTCCATCTGATCTTAACTACACTAAATCAACTGGGGAATGTACTCAAGCCTGCCAGTCAACCACTTTAAACACACACACACACACACACACACACATACTTGATTATAAAAGCTTCAGGCTGAATTGATGACCTCTTATTTTAAGACCTCTATTTTCTTTCCATTTTTGTCTGTTTTTATTAAGGACATTTTTTATTTTACATATCAGTTGATTTGCATGTTTTAAGGGCATTAATGTTTGTATTTATATTTTTTACATATGAAGCTTTTTTTTGCATGCTTTAAAGGAATTCATTTTCTATTTCTTTCTAATAGCATTGCAATAGTTTGCATGATTTAAAGGTATTAATTTTCTTTTATTTGTCTGTTTTCTAGCAATTATGCTTTTTAATTTTACTAATGGAATTATGTATTTATTAATTTTTACATGTTTTAAATGTTACCTTTTTACCAACTTTGTTTGAATTGTCTATTTTAACTTTTTAAAGGGGTCATATGATGTTGCTAAAAAGAACATTATTTGGTGTATTTGGTGTAATGAAATGTGTTTATGCGGTTTAAGGTTTCTGAAACGCGTCGATTTTTACAAAGCTCATCGGTCTGAAAAGCGAGGTGTGCTCTGATTGGCCAGCTATCCAGAGCGTTGTGATTGGCCGAATACCTCAAGCGTGTCATGGAAATGTTACTCCCCTTACCATACTGTGATGCCCTGTCCCGGAGCGACAAGACAAAATCAATAAGCTGCGTGTTCAGCTCCCATGCTGTGATTTTGCCATGTGTGACTAAAACCCTCCGTAGCGCGTTATTCACTTTGCCACTTAGAGAGTTAAACAACAATTAAATTTATCTTTAGTTAGATTGTAACTGAGCAATAGCATTCAGGAAGGATACATATAAGATAGTTAAATTCGCTGAGACGAATTAAAGATTGGGAAACATAGAAAGAGAAGAAAAAGAAGGAAAAGAAAGGGAAAAATCAGAAACCAGGGATTAGGTTAAATTCAAATTACTTCACACTGCATACACACATGCTGTATTTAAAAGCTTCAAGTAAAGGGGTGCTAACCCCTAATTGTTAAAGCTATTTGGTAGCTTAGCCTAAAATGAAACTATGCTAAGTCGTGTTAGCTTAGCCGCTTAAGGTGGTTTGTTTACAACATGGCATCACCAGGTGACGAAAAGAAAGGAAAACTTGAAATCACATCATATGACCCCTTTAAATGTAACTTCAATAAGATTAAAAAAAATTCGTTGCATGTTTTAAAAGTTTGAATTATCTTGCCTTTAATGTTGCTTTAACTATTGTTTTGCATGTTTTAATGAAATTAGTGTTTTTATTTATGTTTTTACATATTAAACTTTTTATTTTGCATGCTTTAAAGGAATTAATTTTCAGGTTTTTATAATAGCATTATAATGTTAGACTTTTAGAATTTTATTTTTACATGATTTTTTTGTATTATCTGTTTTTAATAATTATGCTTTTTAATTTTAGTAATAGAGTATATTAATTTATTTGCATTTTTTAACTAAATTTAGGTTTAGTTAAAATGAGGCTTTTTAATTTAACTTTCGTAATAAGGCTTTGTAAATTCTTTGCATGATTTAAAAGTTTGAATTATCTTGCTTTTTATGTTCCTTTAATTGTTTGTTTGTTTGCACCACAATAGGTTTATTTTTATTTTTATTTTTTACAGTCAGTTTATTTGGAGCAGATTTGCAACTGGAGTCTCAGTAGATTTCATTACCAGCGACCCGCCTTTACCACCCCACCCTGTCATGAATCATTTAACTGATTTGCCCCCGACCATTACTGTGAGAACACGTTGATATTCAATCTTAAATTGTATAACTGCTAACATGTCATCTTTGTGTCCCAAACGAATCCCTGTATGGCAGTATCAATGTATGAACATCCACATTACAGTTGAATCCTGACCTGCTTGGGTCGAGGACTGGGATGTGCTGCCAACTCTAATGAGAAAACAAGAATGAAAGGATCAGAGGAAAGGAGGTGCAGAGGTCAATCAGGAGAGCACCAGATCAGGTCAGCAGATCACAATCTCTCTGAATAATGGAATTCCACAAAAATTCAAAGGAGTTAATGGAACAGGAAATAAAGCCATGATCTGATTACAGTTCAAACATTCCTCTGACTTTTGGAGTTTTTAAAATTCAGCTGGAACTCAAAGCATCAAATTTGAGAACTTCATGCACACTATAATTATAGACTGACAGATTCAGATCTAGTAATATGATCATAGGAAGTATGTAGTCTAATTTTTCCATGTATGCATGTATGTGTGTGTGAGTGTTGTGGGCTAAACTGAACTGTTTATTTTTCCACATACTGTATATGACTAATCAAAGATGATTTATAACCAAATTCCCGCAGGACATTAGACACTTAGAGGATTCTCTTTGATGTGTTTCCTGTTCGGTGATGTAGTGTCCATTCACCTGCCTATGTAAAGAAGAAAAACGGCCCAATGACAGTTCAGTCCAAGAGGAACAGCACAAGCAAATGTTCTAATGAATCTTTCATTCATTTCACCCTTTGAAGAAAAAAATTAATAAAATAAAATCTTTACCACTCATACTAATTTTTGTTGTGCGCAGTATACATGGAATACCAGGATGGTATTAGTGTCTTATGTTTTGTAATAATTTGGTTTTTTTTAAATGAATTTTTGGATGTGTGTGAGACTTGAACTGAAGACAAATTTCTATTATTATGTAATAGACAATAAAGTTTTTTGAATTTGAATGAACCACTAAATTTAGCTGCACGTGCAATAAATAACCATGACACAATGCATTGGGCAAGGTAATTATAGTTAACTAAAACTAAAACCATTTTAAAAAATCATTACTTAAAATAAATGGAAGTACATTTATATGTATGTATTCAACATCATACACCCTCCTCCAGGTGACCCAGCTGGGACTGATCAGACCCAAGCTTGTGTCCAGCTGACTAGCTACTTAGCACTCCATGGCTCTCCTCTTTTGAGCCATAGCCACCTTGAAGCCCTTTCTGCTGCTTCAGTGGTGCTGCGTATAGCTACCCTCCTGCTCGCTCCCTCAATGCCCAGCTCTCTGTATGCTCTGGCCAAGGAACGTTCTGCAAACCCCCTACATCCAACTTCAACTGGGATGCACCTCGCTCTCCATCCTGCCTGCTTGCAGTCGCTGACGAGTCCTTCATACTTGGAGAGCTTCCTTTCAAAAGCTTCTTCCAAGCGATCTTCCCAAGGGACGGTCAGTTCCAGCAGCACAACTTGTTTTGTGGATTCCGATACGAGGATGATGTCTGGTCGCAGAGTGGTAACTACAATATGACTAGGGAACTTCAGCTGTTTTTCTAGTTCCACTAGCAGTTGCCAGTCCCTTGCAGAGGCCAGTATGCTGGCAGATTTCCTCTTCGTTGAAGTAGGCTGCTCTCCAGCACTGATGAAGTTAATTCTCTGCTTGGAGGGTCGGGACCGCTTTGCCCTTTCAACACGCTACACACTGACTAAAATTAAAAAAGTGAAAAAGCATAATAGGACCCCTTTAATACGGTATGGCTCAGCCTTCCAATGCTCCGTCCGGGTAACTTTCCTATCTATTGCTTTCTCCCATCTCGTCCAGGCTCCTTGTTGTTTCATTCCCACTGCCCTGCAGGATCTAATCTCCTCCACAGTTGCTCTCACCTCCTCCTGAACAAGGCTGTTCCTTTTCTTCCTTCTGCTGAGGTTCACGTGTGGCGTCGGAAAGGATCCCAGCCCAGCTCTGCCTTGTGTAACTACTCCCACCAGCCTCCTGTGCCGCAA